TTGCTACCACGCACCACTTTGTCATAGCTGCACTAACAAACGCAGGCAGGAACGTCATGCTGCGGGTGAGCGCAGTGATTCTGTAGGTCGATTGTGTGTGCAGGTTGCCTGCGTGCACTGCTAGGCTGGATGTGGTGGGTCGGACATCGCAGCTTTGTCGACGACGAAGCCGTGTGGGCGAGTCGCCGAAAGCAACCGTGCAAAACATCCAGCACCACGTGGCAAAACTTGCTGCTCGTTCACGAACGAGTCGATTTGCAGCCACATACCACTTTCTCATGGTTGTCCTCTTTGGGTCCATGAGCGACAGCGACGTGAGGTTGTGACTGCTTGCGTTACTTTATTGTTTCCCTAGCTAGTCACTCTGATAACTTTGCTGCCGTGACGTCTGGATCTCAGCAACCGTGATTGCGAGCTCGGTTACTTGTCGTGGACTTACCTTCTGTGGGATGGAAAAACCTATGCGTGTCCTCCGTGTGAATGGCTGTTGTTGTGGCCTACATATACGTTCCCGCTTCGACACCGACTTATGTTGCTGTTGTTGCACCTAGCTTCTTGGTTTGGACTGAAACAGTGCAGCGACAACGAACAACGATGCGACAGTGCACACCTGCACTTGCAGGTTCGACGGTGTTTATGCTCACCCCTCACGTTTTGCTTCTCACCTTCGCTCCCTGTGTTTTTCTTTGGTTTACTTAACTGCCTGGTTTCAGTTTCAGTCAATTGTTCTCCTTCACTGTGCTTGTCCTATAAACATGTCGTCGCCACCTTCTCTGGAGCGGCGCTGCAAGCGTCCGGCTTCGCAGCTGCCGCTGGGCTTAGATCTTACGCTCAGGCGTATCAAGCCTCTTCCCCAACGCATCAGTCTCGACGCCGAGCGATGCTCTGCGTCGCCTCTCCAGCCAAACTCTCATACTACACTTACCACGAGCAACAAAAGCTGCTCTCTGCGGGGCGAACTCTTTCGCGGGAATTCTGGTACAGTCCAAACATGGCAGGGTTGCAGTCACAAGCCAGGCACGCCGCAAACGTGTCAGGCGTGCGGGCGACAATCATGTCAGGTGACCCGCAGACGCAATAAACTCGCCAGGCTGCCCTCCCTTCAAACATGCTCAACTCGCCGGCCTGTCCTCCATGCTGCGAAAGAGCGACGGCATTCGTCGTCCAGCACCTGGCACACGGTTGGGGTGTCGGGTACGGGGTCACAGACTTTTGACACAAAACCAGCGCTGTCAGTTCTCTCCTGTCTCTCTTAAGCGAGCCATGCAGTCAGTGCAGTTCAGTCTCTCTTAAGCGAGCCACGGTGAGTCGCTCGCAGTCAGTTCTCTCCCGTCTCTCTAGCAGTCCGTTCTCTCCACTCCAGTCTGTACTAAGCGAGCCGGGCAAACGCAGATATTCGGTAGATTGTGGTTTCGGGTGAAACGATCCAACCCTACCTACAAACGTGCCTCTTGCTCCGGAGCATACTTGTTATGGGTGATACTTTTGAATGAGGCTGTCTTTTGACACAACTAAACCAATCTATCCTCGCAGGTGATGGTCCATAGCGACTCGTCGATGTTCGGACCGATCGAGTCGTCGTGCGGGGTCGAGAAAACTATCTAGCCATTATACGTCCGTTGTACTTTTCGGTATCTAGGTTAGTGATGGCTACTACTCACACTAGGAAGTTCTCGCTCAGAGCCGGAGGGAGTAAGAGAAAGAGAACGAGAGAGAAAAACAAAACGCTCTACGGCTTCACCTTCTGTGAACTCTACGGTTTTTGATTTCTCACCCTTTCCAACGACTACCGTCTACAGATGCGACCTGGTTTCACACGCTTTTGCTTACGGACTTTCGTAGGATGTGTCCAAGAAATGTTTTCAACCCGTTTGCTGGTGGCTCTGGTTAACGGAATCTGTTCTTTCCGCTAACCTCAGTTGCAACCTTGTGTCTGCCTGTGGTTGTCTTCGACGGCTCACCCGACCTTCGGTGCACTTACTGTGCACCCGGGCGGTCAGCCCCCTTCTTGCGAAGGATGCTGCCGGGACGCCCGAAGTCCCGGCCCCCGTCGTACACGAGGGTGGGAGAGCGATGCTCCCCCACAGCCTGATAGCAGGGATAGAGGACAAATGCCGCGACGGAAAAAGAGACGGCCACAAACAGAGAGGGGAGAGGGAGAGACAGCGAGAGACAGAAAGAAAGTGAAAGACAAGGGCAAAAAAAGAGAGAGAGACACAGAGAGAGATACCAGGACGAAGACAGAGACAGATACAGACAAAAAGGGAAAGGGAGAGAAAGAATCAAGAAGACAAAGCAAGAGCGACAGAGAAGAGAAAGTGCCGTGCCCTACACACACCCTCTGGATGCGGCTTTTTTGGATCTTAAGGTTGGGTTCTCTGTCTCTCTCTTTCTCTTTTTTTGAGCCTTGGTGGGGTCTATACTGACCAAAGTTTGGCCATCTGGTGCGCATCTTAGCACTAGGTTGGGCCAAGTTGGACCCACGTGGTGTATGTTCAGCACATCTTAAACCCATGTTGAAACTATGTTACACCTATGTTAGCATATGTTGGCATATGTTCTCCTGGGGGCCTATGTTGCCGTACGTTGGCGTACGTTGGCCCCATGTTGCAAACGGGGCACCGGCCCTGCACATATCCCACCCCCAAATAGGCCGGCGCCCGGCTGTCAGGCGTAAGCCTCATAAATATGCTGGTGGGAAGTCAAACCCTCTCCCTCTCCCTCTTCCTCTCCCTCTCTCTCTCCCTCTCCCTCTCTCCCTCTTCTCCTCCCTCTTTCTCTGATATGAATTTATTTGATGCTCTCCCACTCTCCACTCAATTTGGCCGTTGCCAGTTGCTCACCCAAAATCACAAAAAAAATAGCGCTGCCTGCACAATCTCCTCGTGTAGATTCACATTGCACCGATGCTCTGCCTAAGAAAAATCACATCTGTCGCACTTCTCTGCCACAGTTGAAACAATTTCATGAAACACTGTCAGTGCCGCTCAGGAGTGAGAGCATCGGCATGAATTGACGCAAAGGCAAACTTCAACTTCAATTGAGTAGTTGAATGCCAAACCACTGGACTCCCCAAAAGCAAAACCCTGTGATGGGGAGTAAGGCGGTAGGCCCCGGTGAAGAATCCGGACGACCTCAAAACTCGGAAAAGCGAACAATTCCGAACACAGTTTAGCTGCTTAGCTTAGCAGCCTCGATAGATTTGGATGAATGCCATCTCAAAAACGTCGATGGAATCAAGCCTGTCTTTGGTTTACCTTCTGCCTGGCTTCATTAGCTCCACGAGCTCGCCTCCAAAGCGGCAGATGAGACCGCACGATGAGCCCGGTGGAGACGGTCCAGCTCAAATCTCAGCGTGTATGGGTGCGTGGGTGTGGGGGGGTATGTGGGTGTGTGCAGCGGACTTCTGACTGCAGGAGTCTTGTGTTGACTTCCCACAGATTGGAAATGATCAAAGCAAAAATCCTCTCTCTTGACTCAGTCTCGTCTTCTCATTAATCACCACATTCCTGCCATGTCTCATCTCTCGTTGAACTCTATCCGAGGCCATTGTGTTCAGCCTCAGAACGTTGTGGGAATCATTATTCACTATAGAAAATCCTGGCTCGTCCTGTCCACTTCAGATTCGTTTAGAATTGTTCAGATGCAAAGGTAAGCATGCGTAGTTCGATGAGGAGAAGGCTACTTTACACCCTCCCAAAGTAGCCGCCTGCAAATTGGCTACTATGCATATACAGCACAAACATGCCCCCCAAAAAAAAACATAGAACAACAATCGCTTTGCAAGAGACATGGATTTCACATCACGACGCTGATGCCACAGGGAGAGTCTCACCTGATGCGGTCATGCCGAGCCGTCCATAAAAGGAACCAAAAGAGGTGTCCCACAGCCTTGGCAGTGTTCTTACAGGAAGATGGATGTGGACAAACATCAAGGATCACACAACCTGGACGCTAGGCTTCTCATTCGGAATGTTGCATTGGGAACCATGTTGCACCATGTTGCTCTTTCAAGGTACCAGGAAAGTCAAATTGGGAAGGAAACTTCTGAAGGCAAACCTTCCTCATGAACTCCTCCTTCCCCAAGTGCTGTGCCTTCAGAAGTTTCTCCTCAAGCACCTTTGCGCGAGAAGCAGATTGGGCAATCCTCTCCCTGGCGCTGGCCACCTCGGAGGAGCCAAACATGCCACAAAGAGGCCTGCGCTATGAAAAAATGCGCTAATCTATATGTGTATATTATATATATATATATTATATATAATATATAATATATATATATATCTGTGTGTGTGCGTGTGTAGTAATTAAATATAGATTCTAGATCTTTATGCACCATCTGCATCGTTGTTGCGTCGGAGTACTTTTAAAATGCGATTCATTTTCTGAGTCCTCTAAATCTCTGAATGACAAAAGTGATGAACAGCGCGCCACAAACGGCGTCCACAATCCAATACCCGGAAATGATTGAAGTTCTGCAGGTGCCTGGTCCGCAGTGCTGACGATGGCCTCAGCTCGATCCGGCTTGCTCCCGGCAAAAATGGTGCCATGACAAAGCCACAATGCCCACTGAGCTCGTTGCACACTGCAGCATGCGGCGCCCAATTTCTTCCAAGCTCTCCTGCAAATCACCTGAGACATTGGTGAGAAACTGTCAATTGGCACTGGCCGTAGTAAAAGGTCGCTCATGAGAAAGGAATGTCAATGGTCTGGGATCTTGTTGTCTTCTAGAGCCGTGCCACAGTGCTTGATGATCCAGGCATGTTGGCCATCCTGAAGGCGCATTGATCCCCCAGCTCCAAATCGCGCCCATCCCATCACCTTCCAAACCCAAAAATCCCTGCCCGAAGTTCCTCATGCTTCTCAAGCAAGGCCTCAACAACTCACCCCCTTCACAAGTCCTTGCAGAAGGTCTGGACAAAGTTTGCTCGAGACAGCAGGTGCTGGGCAAAGGCCAATGCAGCCTCAGCAGCACAAGTGACATAATGTGGCACTGGCGGTCGGTCTGCATGGTCCTCGCAAGTTCTGCATTCCACTGCGTGTGTGCAGCGTGTGCGTGCGCCAGCCGCCACCTTTTTCACATCTCACAGCTCAGGGCCTCAAACGGAATGTGCATCTGTCATCCTATGGATTCAACATGTATAGGTACGTGAATTCAAATCTCGACTACTTTGAGAGGACATGAATGCGTATCTGAACTTTTGCGATCGTTAACATATCCCGTTTGTTTGGGCTCAAGGTTTGCCAGAAATCTGATTGCAATGTATGAAAGGGGCAGAGAGAGCGAGAGAGACACAAAGAATTCAAAAAAGAAACTGTCCTGGAGGCCTGGAGGTGAAGAAATGCTGTTTAAATCTGACCGCTGGCAGATCCGGCAACAAAAGCCATTCTTTCCAGCCTTTCTTGTCAAGCGCACCGTCCAGCGCCTTGAGCGTGTGACTAAGAACATGGCTTCAAGTGGAACAACTTGCTGTTCCCAAATCATTGTTTCGGATTTCTTCCAAACTCAGGTCTGTCCCAGTCACGTCGATGGCATCCATCTGTTCTTGTGCCAAAGTGAAGTCGAAACTGTGGAAATTGGACCTGCAAAGGTCGCAAGTCGCAAGCTGTCGACGTGAGCTGTAGAGTCTAGAGCTGTCGACGTCGCGCCTCTGGCGTGTGGGGTCCTTGGAAGCTGGGATTATAGAGATGCCTCGATGAACTGCCCAGTTCAGAACCACCTGACGCGGGCATTGCAACCAGTGTCCTTCTGTCCGACTGGTCGCACAATGTGACTCATGCGTGGCTTGACTTAGCTAGACCTCACCTAATGTGCTGTGGTAGTGAGTGTGTGAGTGAGTGAGGGAGTGGGGGAGGGAGGGAGACTGCGAGCCAGCGAGCAAGCAGACAGGCAGGCATGCAGGCATGCAAGCATGCAAGCAGCCTGTCAGGTAGGTAAGTACGTAAGTCAGTCAGCGAGTAAGGAAGTAAGTAAGTGAGTGAGTGAGTAGGTAAGCAGGCAAGTAAGCAAATAAGCAAGCAACTAAACTAACTAATTAACTAAAGTCAGTAAGTAACTGTAACTAAGTACAGTAGGTAGGTGTATAAGTGTCACTGCGGACTGCTTAAATTAACATCGTGAAACCTAGACTTGAAAGGCAAGCGGCAAATTTCTCCAGAGCCAGCCTGGCCTGTGCAACAGTGCGGTTGTGGAATTGAGCAATCTCCTGTAGCACCAGGTTGCTGAAGACAGGATTCACTTCATAGCCTTGGCGCGCTCGGGCATTCCGATGCTCGGGCTGTCAAGTTGTAAAGAACACTAGAATCTAAAAGAGTTGGTTCTTATACTATGGATCCCATGCGTTGCATCCGAACTAACAACAATCGCTCAACTGATCTCAGTCGATAATGCTGCCTACCGCGAGTTGAAAACAAATGCCCCAACTTTCCCCGTGCGAGATGAACATATAGTTCACCGGCAAGAGCAGCAATCATTTTCCAAGGCACCCTTGAAATATACCCATTGGGCGCCAAGAGTGCTGTAGGCCTGGTATTGGATTCCTTCCTGAAGTGCGTGGTGAGTCTGGTCAAGCTGAAGGCGATTCAACCTCAAAGAAAAATGAAGACGCCTAAGCCGGGGGTCTATGTTCCAACTAATGGGTTGTGGGTGATTTCCCTCTTGAAGGTTGTGGCTCAACATGGTTCAAACCTCTGAGCAACCAGATTAGCAGATTGGGATGGTGGCTGGTGTAACTTAGACAAGTTGCATAGAACTGCAAACTAACGTGCCGTCATACACCATTAGCACCATTGTTGCAGTACATACTTACCCAGCACATCCCAGCCCATGAACAGCCAAGGGACTTCCTGGCACTTTCGACGAACTAATTTGTCCTGATGAAAGGGGTCCATCCTTGGCTGCCCAGAGTCTGCTTTGTGCCCTAAAGCACTTCTGCAAGTTGCTTGCGCCACTGACGATGATTTGCGCAGCTCATTTGCATCCAAAGCGCCAGTTTTGTATGATGTGAGGTTTCTGCCTCGAGGGACCAGAGAAAGAGAAAAGGAAAAGAGAGAGAGAGAGAGAGAGAGAGAGGCTCGAAACACACATCCTCCGCCCTGGCCGCCTGGCCGCCCTGGCCTCTGCTGAAGAAGCTCCTCCAACAAGTCCATATCAACATCACAAATGCCAATGGCCAGGGCTTGGCCAAGCCCATGAAGCTCCTCAAAGCAAACAGGAAACTCTGAGTGGCAGCTCAGCTCAGCCAACAGCCCGCTCATCTGACACTAATGAGTGAGTCATATATATATATATACATTATACACTGTCTCATACATCAACCAAACTCCACCCATCTTGCGCACGGGCGCTGAAAAGACTTGCTAACTTACCTCCAGAAATGGACCGTTTTGAACACACAAAGGTATGCAGTCTGAGTACGGCCCTTGTTGCTAGCTGTATGTGTGTGTGTGTGTTCAATTTGTTGGCTTCCAGTTTGCCTAAGTTAGCCCTAGCCCTCTCAGAAGGAAGTTCCTGCCCCTGTGTCAAACTACAAGCACATAGCAGTCTAAAACCACCCGGCCCGTTCTCCTCCAGCGCGCGCCAGCCATCCTTCCACGTTCCTTCTGGCTGTCGTGAGCAAGCTCCCGGCCAGCACCAGGGTTTGTGCAGCCTCTAGCGATACGCGATGCCGTCAGTGGCCAACACGCAAAGCTGATGCCTGGTCTCTCTTAGCCATCAAGGCTGTCTGTCTGTGTGCTACTAGGGCTAAGTGCGACTGCCACGGCTGCCGATGTTCTTCTTGCAATTGGCTGGACCTAGAGATCTTCACCCTTAAGCAGAGTGTCAGCATGACATCCAAGTAGTCGGTCTTCAGCCTCTGCAAGGACACCTTGAAGGCACTCAAGGTCGAAGTGTAGCCCAGGTCCTCTGGATGAATCTTGCCTCAGTCATATTCACAAATCCTGCAGTGAAAGCCCAACCAGCTTGGCACGGGGCCGGGGACCTTTCGTTTGTGACAATGGTCGCACGTCTAAATGTTGCAAATAACTCTCTATGCAATTCTATGACCTACGCTTGGGCGCCCTAAAATGATACCCCGCATCTCTTGAATTCCGGCAACTTGGGGAGACACTTGGACAATTAGGCATCACCCAAAAACCATGTTCGTCCTTTCCTGTGGCATTGGTAAATTGGTATATTCTCGATGCTCCTGGCAGTTCCTAGGTCCCAGGTGAACTACTGCGTGCTGTCAGTTGAAAGGTCACACCCAATGAGCTGCCCGACCATCACACTGGAACACTAAAAATTCTTTGCAGCCAGGAGGCTTTGCAGGAAAATCTCCTAACCGATCACTTGAAGGTCAAAAGCTTTTGATCCACCAGCTTTTGCATCGGCAGCAGCAGCAGCAGCAGCAGCCGCAGCCGCAGCCGCAGCCGCAGCAGAGGCAGCAGCCGCAGCAGCAGCAGCGGCAGCAGCAGCGGCAGCAGCAGCAGCAGCATGCTGCAGCATGCACACATACAAATACCAGCTGACACTCGCCCAAAAGGGATCACAAACTCTCAGCCCAGGCACTTGTCGAGGCATGTGCTGCACTGCTCCTCCACCTCATCTTCGTGGTAGCCCCACCTGGCAGAAAACGTGGTCGCAACTGGTCCGAACGCGACAGAGCCGACGTCACTGACACAACTCTCCGGCTCCACCGACGAAAAGGTAACCAAAAGACATCTATCTGCAGCTTTGCTGCTGGTATGCCTGGGCAGTATCAAAAAGCCGGTATCCAATCTCCAGCGCGGCTGATACATGGCTCTGCCTGTCAGATGCTCAGACCCAACCCAACCCATCTCTTGCAGGGCTTAAAATTTCAAATGGACTGGAACATTTAGGCCATGCTTGCGTGATAATGGATCCTTGTGGGTCCAAATCTGGATATACTTTGGCTTGGGGGCTGCAAGGGTTCAGTGGTTGGATGGTTGGAACATGTCAGAACAGGTGCAACCAGCCTATCAAGCACACTGAACCAGTGGCCCGTGGCAAACTCTGGCTATACATATTTTTTACATATATATATATATATATGCTATAACTGACAGTCTCTGAAGCTTCACTTGGCAATTTCATGCTTGCGATTGGTTAAAATCTACGACCCCAGAAAGAACAGAAATGTGGCAAACGCATTTTGGCAGGAGGACATCCTGCTCTCCAATAGGGCCCCTTGCACCAGCCTTTGGTAGCCTTTGACCCTCACTTGCCCCGCCTGACACCACTAGCACAGCCAAGTCCTACCAGCGGCAACCTGCGGGTGTCTGCGGGTCTGCAACAGAATCAGACCGATGAGCTGCGGGCAAAAGCAATGAAGAGAAGTGGCTGTTGCGGTGCTTTTGGAACCGAGCACTATCCAATCAACAAACCGACTTTCCTCCTCGACCTACTCAGTACAGGCAGCCTTTCATCCCTTCATCTGAGCTGCTGCCGGCCATTGCTGAGCATCATTGAGGGTGAAGCGCATGTAGATGCCATCGCCAGAGACCTTGATGTTTGATATATATATATATATATATATTTTTGTGTGTGTATCTGTGTTCTGCTGGCAACCACTCCAATCATCGCATAGATTATTCCAAGGAACTTTAACCAAAGCACCCACAACCTATGAGCACACATCAGCGTACAGGAACATCCGCTGCGCCATGGCGGTCAGCGTGTCATGATTGACTAGTTGGTTGGTTGGTTGCTTGCCTGCTGGCTGGCTGGCTTGCTTGATTGGCGTAGGAATCCCTACTGAGTTACTATCTGCTGTTCTGCTGCGTCACTCAGGTCGACACACACCATAGGAATCAAGCAGAAGAAGCTTTAAGTTCCAAGCCCGACAAAATAGCATCTCCATCTTTCTATCTCTATGTCTATCTCTATCTCCCATCTCCCCTCCCTCTCTCTCTCTCTCTCCCTTCGCCCTTGCTAGTAATGTCAGGTGCCTGCAATGGCGCAGGTCGTCAAAATATACAAGTGAAATACAACAACCAAACTGGCTTGGAGATTCCATTGGTCAGAGTTGCTTCAAATGAATCGCAGCTGGTGTGGCAACGGAATGGGCATTGTGGCCAAGGAGCTACACCTCCTTCGGAGTTCAGGCAAGAGTCCATGTGTTTCTTCAGCCTCTCGATTCCCTTGGAGCAGCACAGAATCATGAGAGCTTGACCGATAGTCAGGACATTGACAGCACGAGTACATGCCACGACCTACGTGTTTAACGCTAGGCGGTTGGACCAAATTCCACATGCTAGCGTTTGCATGCAGCTGAATTCATCTTAGACATGGTCTTGCTCACATTCTCACCTGTCAGTGTCTTGTGGAGGGTGTCTCACCTGTCCTCAAATTGCAAACTATTTGTGGTGTTTTAACTAGTAGCATTCTTGCTCCTAGTAGCGATGCCAGGAGCCCCTAGTTGCGTCCTTGCTCCTAGTAGCGATGCCCTTTGCTCCTAGTAGCGTCCTTGCTCCTAGTCGTAAGTGTTCCAGTGTTGGATGTGTTCGCCGGTTTTGGGCCAAAGACATCTTCACCGATACAGCCCATGGGTTCAAGTGCGGCATCCAAGGCACTGCGGCAGCGAAGCGGAGCCCACACTTCACGATGATGCCCACCGTGCGCACTGCGGAAAGGGTGAAAGAAACAAATCCGAAAGTTGCAAAGGTCCTTGGTCTGCGATAATGCCAGAAACATCCAGAAACCATTACAGTATCACACTCAGGCCATGCGTCCTTGGTTTCTGGAAGATTCTATGGGATTTCATCAACCTTCCGGGACCTTTCTGTCCTGCTTGCCAACACTCTGGTACACTCCAGCCTATAGCATCGTGGCAATCAATCAGCGAATTCTTCACCGACACCCGACCTTGACCGCCAATTGTGGGAAAGGAACTGAATCCGCTCTGCATGATGGGCAAGTACACGATATTAAGTAGTCAGGAGCCGAGCCTGCTTCTTGTTCCACTTGCGCGCCAGGGCCACCTTTGGCCATGATGAGCCAATCACCTGCAAACGATCTATCTACTGGCAAACTCTACCAGTTTGGGCGTCTAGAGCGTGTAGGGGAGAGGGAGGCAGAACACCTTCAAAGTCCGCCGCGCGCTCGGCAGCTGTAGCTGTCTCCCCGGCCACCTGCCAAGTACATCAACACCAAATGCGCGTCTTGCAGTCTTGAGTCATGATTGACCTGGTGACGGTGATGGCTTCCTGACTTCCAAGTGTTATCATGATCGCTTGACAAATTGCCCAATTCCCGCTCGCCAAAATTACAGAACCGCCTTGATGGCCAGCTCCAAAGCCATTTGGGCCTGCCAAACTAAGGCCCTCTAGGGTCATTGACAGGTATCAATGCGATACTGGCAGCACTAAAAGAGGTGGCGAAAACAAAGGTGGAGGTCACCAGGTCCAAAAATCAAATGCAAACCAGCTCTCACAGCCGCAATGCTTTTCCAGCACACACGAGTGCCTAAGTCGTAGGCAGTTCTGCCACCACCTATGGCGGCAAAGGACGCTGAACGGTAGCGCAGGGCGATCGTGAGATCGCTTTGGCAAAAGGAATTCCTAGAGTTCAAAAGCGGCGGGACTGACCGGTGTCAATTGGTTCATGCCTCTCATGCAAATGGCTCAACTTCTGAAAACAGGTTCCGTGCTGCCAGACGTGTCTAACGCACCTTACACACCCCTGCTGGGACGTATCTGTCGTTTTAAAAAAGGGTCTCGTCAGCATGTCTACTCAAGGGGTGGATCTTGAGATTGCTGCAATGAGATCCACAGCACCATTCCGCGCGCCTGTTTGGCCTTGAGCTGCTCCACGCTCTGAGAGCCTTCTATGAGCTCCTGAGTGGGACACCCGGCGATGTGAACAGTTTTCAAGGATCTCCCGAGAACAGCTCTACACAGGACATAGTGACATAGTTCCAACTGGGATACTAGTAGTTGGACACTTGCCATGGAATAAGTGGATAGAACTGACAGAGCGGGGGTGCCATCCAACTGTTTCTTTGGACTAACAAAACTACGCACATCAACTTAGTGTTACGCACAGTTTGACCCAGAGTTTAGCAGGTTCACCGCAAGCTCTGGGGCGCATGGATGCGCAAGAAGCTCCTCTGCTTTTGGTTCCTCTTCGACTTCTTCTTCTGGATCCCTCACACCAGGAGAATCCACGCAAAGGTGTCATAAATCCAAATTAGCGCATTGTATGAAAAGTGCAATATCTCCAGAAGCTGGTGGAAGACCACTGTGTTTGTCTAAGGGGTTGCTGTATATAGGTATATATAAATAAATTTGCATACACATAGGTAGAAATGACTGAAATATCATGGGTAGTTTCTCCTTAGTCCTGTTCTTTTTCGACCTTCCAGAGTGATCACTCCGTCCTTTGGGCCCGACTTGGAGGAGCGAGACGGAGGTGCTCCCAACACGTCGCTGAGCTCCCAACACGTCGCGCTCCTTACGACGGTTCTCTTCCTCCCGGCGGCGAAGCTCGCGCGTCAACAGCTCCTGCGAGCGGGCAAGGGCAAAGCAATTGAGCTGCAGCAGCTGCAGTTTCAGTCATGGAAGGGTCTGGGATAAAGGACTTAGAGCCCCAGCCCCAGAAATGTTACATGTCCAAAACATTGACTCATGAGAACTCAACTTGCTGCAACTTGCCACCTGGACTTCAAAAACCACTGCCATTTCCTTTAGAGAATCGTCTGGCAACTCGCGTCCTCAGCTTGTTGAAATCCTTTTGGCGTCGGTGTCGCGGGCACAAGCAGCAAGAACCTGACGCCACGTGGCCGTTTAACATACATACA